AACATCCTTTCCGCCCACAGTCTGGGTCTTGCAAGACCTCAACAGCTCTCCCAGCCACAGCCTCACCTCCCTCTGAGCCTCAGCTCGGGTCAGGATGGTTTGTTACACCCTGAGGGCCCTGAAAGTCATAGTGACTGTTGTTCCAGTGTGGCACTGCTGGCTGTGGGGACGCTGCCCCTGGGGGGTAGCACAGGCAGGATGGCTCCAGCCCTGCCGGGGGCACAGCAGGGAAGGGACAAGCACCACTAGAGGAGGAGGAGGAAGAGGCTCTTTCCCAGGGACAGCAGAGGTGAGAACACCCACCCAGCCAGAGCAGGCACCTCCCCTGGTCCCTGTGCCTGCAGGCAGCATCCATGGCACAAAAAACTGGTGTAAAATCAAAAGCAGCTAAAAAAGCTTTAGGAGTATAAATAGGCTGTGAGCTTCTTATGAAACCCTAGAGCTGGGAGGAGGGCAGAGAGCCTTCTGGGAGGACTCTGTGTTACCTCAGCACCTGAAGTCTCATCACCAATTGGAAATTCCAGTGTCCTAAGGCACAACTTTTGATTAACACAGAGGGTACCTACCATCCCCACCCACTGCCCGAGGGGCAGGTGTGAGAGCTACTAGGACAGAACAAAAGCAGCACTTGTTTCTGTGGACAAAGGTTAGAGAGTAGAGGAAGATGGGCTGTGGGTGTTGTCAGGCTCTGACCCAGGCACTGCTGAGGGATCCATGCGCCCAGGGACCTGCTGGTTCCAGTGCCAAGGTTCAGAGCCAAATTCCCCATTGAGGCTGAGGGAAGACAGTTTAACTGGGGCTTTTGTGAAAGTGGAGGAACAGGCTAAAACCTGTTAATGATCTGTTTTCCAGAGTTCTCAACAGCAGTGGGAAAAGCAAGGAGTCAATATGTGGAATTGAGTAGGAATGGGTTCAATTCAGCCTTCCTGAGAAGGAGCCCCCCAGGAGTCATCCCACCCTCAGCCTGACAGGTGCAAGGACTGAACACCCCCTGTGCTCCCACACTGCTCCGAGGGGCGATGGTGACAGAACACCACACACACACCACAGTTACTTGTGGCCCTCAGCTGTATTTTGTCCTTTTTTTTTTGTAACACTCAAACCTTAATATTTTCTGTTCATAAAACCTCAGGGGATATTGGAAGGGAACTAAAAGCACATCTGTCCTGTCCACAGCTGAAACTCGGGCGTGGGTGAAGACTGAACCTGGAGTGGAGTGTTAGTCAGTTGTAAACTGTTGGAGATGTGTGCATGGTGCACAGCTGAGTGCACGGGAGGCAGGGACGGGGACACATCATTCCAGCTCCGATAACGTGCACGGCCGTCGGAACTCCTGTCCCCGCTCGTGGAGCCACTTGTTGGATACTGCAAAGACACAGAGGTATGGCATCACTGCACCTGCTCAGCTCTTCTACTGAAGCTCAGTCTGTGCTGTTGGCCAGATTTCAGTTAAACACAGGATTATCTTGATTTTCTAAAGGATTTTAATCATGGAATGGTTTAGGTTGCAACGGACCTTGAAGACAATCTCATTCCACCCCCCTGTCATGGGCAACTGTGAAGTTGGTCTAATATATACAAGAGGGAAAAAAGTTCCCAGGAGAGCTGCAAAACTACAAAAGACACTGAAAATATATGTAGTATTAGATGTATTTTATATGTGTAATAAAATCATAGTAGGTTGGTTAAGGGGTGGGAATGGAGTTTGGAGATGATCCAGTGCCAACCCCCTGCCCTGGGCAGGGACACCTCCCACCAGAACAGGTTGCTCAAGGCTTTAGCCAACCTGGCTTGGAACACTGCCAGGGCTGGGGCAGCCACAGCCTCCCTGGGCAACCTGTGCCAGTGTCTCACCACCCTCACAGCAAAAACTTCTTCCTGATATCTAATCTAACTTTCCCTCTTTCAATTTCTCCCCATTACTCCTTGTCCTGTCACTGCAGAAAATGTGCTATCTATGTAATATATACAACCTATGGAGAGATGGATAGTAGATAAAGTAAATTAAATCGATTTATTTACAAAGAGCTTCATTTCTAGCTTGTTTCTATTCCACCCTGAAGTCCAGAGGACAAGGAACCCGAGGCAGAGCAGCAGAGCCCCAGGCATGAGGAGGGGGTGAGGGTACTTACCCCACTTGTTGCCCACCAGGACGGGGCAGGCCGCATGCCGTGTGCTGTAATCGCCCTCTCCGCTGGGGAACAGGTTGTACCAGAACACAGCTGTTCCCTGCAAAGGGCAGGGCAAACACTCAGTCTTTTCCTCTGTACAATACACACTTTGACACCAACTCACTTGATGACAAGGCAGGGGTAGGTGTGTTCTATTTCAGGTTCTCCTCTTAAACTGAAGGCTCCTTTCCATATTCTAACATTTGCTTCCAAAGGAGTGAGTCTCCTTTGCCCCACTGTGTCTGTATGTACTTGGCTCTTAGGTTTTTTAAACCCTCAGCCAGTTTCATTCAACTCCTAACCACTTTACTCAAAGTGAACAGCAGGCCAGCACAGGCAGAGCTCACTTAGAGTCACAGAATCATCAAGGTTGGAGACCCCTACGGTCATCCAGTCCAACCATTAACCTGTCACTGCTGGAACTCTAAACCCTAAACCACATCCCTCCAGTGCCACATCCAGACACCTCTTAAACACCTATAGGGATGGTGACTCCACCACCTACTGGGAAATATTCCAGTGCCTCAATACCCTCACAGGGAAAACATTTCTCCTCACATCTCCTCTGACTCTGCCCTGTCTCAGCTCAAGGCCATTCCCTCTAGTCCTCTCCCTGCAGCCATGGCAGGACAGACCATCCCCCACCTCTCTCCAAGCCCTGTCAGGGAGTTGCAGAGAGCCATGAGGTCACCCCTGAGCCTCTTCTCCAGGCTAACCAACCCAACTCCCTCAGCCCTTCCTCATACAACACGTCCTAGTGACCCTCTGAGGGAAAAACCCAACAGCAACACACCATTCCAGGCAGAATTCCCTACAGACACCTCAAGACTGCACCTACTCACAGATCTGAGTTTTTTCAAGATGCGTTTTGAAACTCTGTAATATTTTGCATCATATCTAACTATTTATAATGCACAGTCTGTGCACTGGAAGCAGCAAAGTCCAAAACATAACTACACACCAACATGCAGAACGTTGGGCACTTGGAATCAACACTGCAGTTCACTGTCAGCACCTCTGCGCTGCCATGAGCAGTGCTATGACTGTCCTTGTCTTCAAAGTTGGTTTTAAAGCTCTCTTTTGTGCCTGTTGTCTTCCAGAGGGTGCAGAGGAGAGACTGTGCCAGCTGAACCCCACTCACCTTCCTGGGCCAGACGCTGGCTCCCACCTCGGGAAAGACCGTGGCTCCCCCTGCTGACACATCGCTCATCTGCGCAGGTGAGGAAGGCACAGGTGAGTTTTGCAACACAGAATTGGGTTATCGCCTATCAATCCTACCTCCAAACCCCGGATCACTCCATGATTAACAGCTTTAAAAAGGCCCAAACCCACTCGGGCTGCTCCCAGTGCAACCTCACACTCATCCCACTGTTACACACTCATGTTTGAGCACTGAATATGCTGTAAACATACAGATACAAAAATGAACAGCAATCAGCTAATTGAAGCTGATGCTCAATTTCAAGGAGCAAAAACCTCCTTAAGAGCTCATGGAAGAACCATGAAGTGTGGGGAAGAAGATACTCCATATGTATCACCCCAAATCACACAATGTCCTGAGCTGGAAGGAACCCACAAGGACCATAG